CCTGCTATCATTTTTTGCCTGATTTCGTTATCATATACTATATCGTGTCCTTTTCTCTTTATTTTCATGCTGCCTTTCCCTTTCTTGTTTGCTTTGTCTTTCCTTTCATTCTCTTGTTCTTCTGCCTTTTAATATTGCCTTTTCCCTACCTACTACTTTCTGCTACTAATCGTCTTTTGCTTCTTTCTTGTTCCTTACTTCTTAGCGATGTTGTCCTTTACTCTTGTCTTAATCTTTCATATTTATCTACTCATAGTTGCTTCATTTGCTCCTTTTGCCTTCGTTGTCTTGCCATTTGTTCTCTTGTCTTCCTTTACTATTTCTTGGACTTATTTTCTTGTTACTCATTGTCTCTTCCTAGTTTTATGTTTATTTTCTTTTATCTCCTTATTCTCTACCTTTTATTCTATCTCCTTCTCTCTCCAGATTGCTGTTTCCTTACTTTCCCTTTTCTCGTTTTCCTATTTCTACTTTTCATCGCTGTCCATTTTACTGCTGTTCCTTTCTCTCGTATCCATACTTTTCTTGTTTTGTTATCTTTCTTTTTCCTTCATTCTGTCTTGTTTTCTTATCCTTTTTTTGTCTTGTATCTTCTTTCCTATTCTCTGTTCTGCTTACCTCTTTATCTATTGGCCTTCTTCTTCCTGTCTTCTCTTCCTCTCGCTTGTATTCGACTACTCTTTCCTAGCTTCTTGTCTCTTTTCTCTTGTTTTTCTTCGCATTTCCTTATCTCCTTTTTTCTTCTTTATTTATCTCTCTTGCTTTTCCCTATCATTGCTTCTTCCTTTCTCTTTCTCTGACCTGAATTTTCACTGCTATTTCTGCTTTTCTTGTCCCGTCTTACGTTTTTCATCTCGTGCTTTCCGTTTTTCGTTAGCTTTATCTATCACTATTCTCTTTTTTTCTTCTTCTTCCCTTTCTCTTTTCTTTTCTTATGCTTCGTTTGCTTTTCTTCCTATCTTCTTTTCCTCCTTCCTTGCTGCTATTGCTTTCTACTACCTTTCTCTTCTCTCTTTCTTTCCTCTATTTCTTGCTCTTGCTTTTTTCTTTACTCGATTCCTCGCTATTGCTTACTTCCTTCTTGTCATTCAACGTCGTCTTCTCTCGTGATCTCCTATCTTTCCTATTATTGTGTCTTCTCATTCCTTGTATTTCCTGAATGTCTCATTGTTTTTAATTTATCGTTTGCTACTTTTTCATACTATTACCTTACTTTTTTCGTTCTCAGTTTCGCTTTTCCTTATCCTTCCTTATCTCTTTCTTTTCCTCCCCTCTTTGGTTTCCTATCTCCTTTCTTATATCACATTCCTTTCTTTTTCTTTCATCTTGCTGCTTTCTTGTTGCTTCTTGTCTTTTCTCTTCCTTATTTGTTTTACGATGTTTCATATTTTTGTCCTGACTCTTTTAATACCATTTTGTTAGCTATTGTACTTACTTCTTTCTCATTGCTCTCTCTCTCTTTCCCTACTTCTCTCTTTCTCGTGCTTTTTCCTGTATGAATTGTCTTGTGGTGCTCTTGCCTATTTTTCTTTGCCTGTTGGGTGTCTTTCTCTTTTGCTATCTTTTGCTTTTCCTCTCTATTTTCATTTATATTTTCTCTCGCTTTTCTGTCCTCCTTTTTTCTGTTCATCGTTGTCGCTTTCTTGCTCTTGTTTTACTTGCTCCTTTCTATTGTTCCGTTGCAGATATTCTGCTTTCTTTCTATTGATTCGTACTTTTTGCTTTGTCGCGTTGCTGCCTTTTTCTCTCTTCCTTTTTCTGTTGTTTTATGTCGCCTTTCTCGGTCATCTCTCTTTTCGTCTTGTTTCATGTTCTTCTATCTTACTTCCTCCTTTATTCAATAGTTCTGCGTTCCTTTTTTGCCTGGTGTATTCTCTCCTTTGTTATTTACTCTTTTCTTTCGTTGTCTTTTTTCCTTCTACTTGCCGTTATCTTGTAGTTTCTTGCTTGCTCCGTTCTGCTCTCTGCCGTGCTTACTTATCCTTTGTTCTTGTACTGGTTTATGCCTAATTTGTGCCGCTATTCTTCCTTTTGCCCTCCCTTGCTTCCTTCTTTTTGTCTTGCATCCTTTCAGATGCATTCTGTTGCTCTCGTCCTGTTATCTCTTGCTTGGTTTCTGGGTCCTTTTTTTCATTCTTGCTTCAGCGCATTATTTTACATTCTTGTCCTTTTTTCTTAGCTTTCGTGATTTCCTGCTGCTAGCCTTTATATTGCTTCTCTTCTCCCTACTTACCTGTTGCTCTATGTCTCGCGCTTCTCCTTTCGGCTCCTCCCTGTCGTTACTTTATTATGTATTTTATCGAATCTAGTTTTCATTTTTCTTGCACTTGTCGCTTGTCGCGTCTTCTTCCTACTAGTCACGTATTTATCGCAGTTGTGCTCTACTCCCTTTCCTTCTTCTTCATTCTTTCTTTTTTCTCCTTTATTCTTTTATGACATTCTTCATTAGTATCTCTCTTTTTGACTTGTTGCCTTCACATGTTTCTCATGTTTGTTCTCCACTTCGTCTCTTTTCTTTTTCTATTTCATGTACTTAATCTTTATTGCGTCCATTGCTAGGACACTTGTTCTTTCCGCCTTGCTCTTTTATGTATTGTCCTTTCCTGTTGCCTCTCTTGTCTTTCCTTTCTTATGTTGTCTCTTCTTCTTAACCTCTGGCTACTTCCCCTCCTTTCTATCTTTTCATGCTTACTTACTTTTTTGCCTTGTTAGCATATGGAATATCTTCTTCTTTCTCCTCGTGACGCATACTTGTAATTCGAATTATCTTTCTTATGCTATCTCCTCTTTCTTTCCAATTGTCCTATATTGCGTACGTTGTTACGTTATCTCTTATCACTTTCATTATTGTTATTTTGTTTCTCTCTACGACTTTCTTATATTTTCCTGCTCGTGTGCTCCATTAACTGACTTTGTTCTGTCTTTTACTATTGTTTCTCTCTTTCGCAGTTCCTGCTCTCTTGCCTTGTGCTATTGTGCTACTTATAATTCATTCCTTTTTCTGTCTTATTCTCTCTCTTCTATTGCGCTGACTTTTTTGCTTGTATCCTTTGCTGCTATTCTCCTTCCCTCATGTCGTTCTTTAC